TGGGAAAGGCTCATTGGGATGCCTTCCAAGTTGTAAGTACGAATAGATGTAAAACACTTCAAGAGGAAAATTCTGATGATATAACTGCTAGAATCCACTTCAAGACAATGGTACTTGCGTACCATGCTGCAAATGGATCTGGCCCTTCCTACATCCAGGACATGGTTAAACTGTACACCCCAGCACGTGCACTCTGCTCTGCATCAACCAAACGGCTCGCTGCACACGCACTGCGAAGGGGACCCAAGTTCCCATCAGCAAAAACACGTGGGTTTGCTATCCTGGCTCCAAGATGGTGGAATGAGCTCCCCATTGACATCAGGCCAGCAGAAAGCTTACACACCTTCCGGCGCAGACTGAAAACTCATCTCTTTCGACTCCACTTCGAGCGATAGAACTATTAACAAAGCATATATATACTAATAAAGTACTGGCTTACCTAAAGCCAGTTGAGCAGCACTTGAAATGTTTTAGCTCTATGAAACCTGATGTACTTTATGATTCTGTTTTCTTCAAGTTTGTATTTTGTTGGTCGAACGCACTTATTGTAAGTCGCTTTGGATAAAAGTGTCAGCTAAATGCAATGGAATGTAACGTAATGTAAGACTGCTGGGAGCACAATGAGTCACATTTAACAAGTGTTGGATGGATTGGCGATGTTAAAGCAGCAAGTATAGGTTTGAATCTAATACAGTATTGCCCCACAGCTCCAATCTCGTCCATTCCACCCTGATTGTTCCCATTGCCAAGTGCAGACCTCAATATACGAGAGGAGTTAAAGGAAAAGAAAGAACTACCAGTATGGCGCATAGTCCAGAATCACTTTGCAAGATATCACTCAGACTCAACAATCATATTTACAGATGGCTCCAAAGATCCAGAGACAGGGCGTGCAGGGGCAGCAGTCTATATCCCAGTGAGTAATACACATATAAAGAAAAGGGTAACAGACCATGTGTCAGTATACACCACAGAGTTGTTGGCATTGGTACTGTCATTGAAATGGATAGAGGAGAAAGAAATACATAACAGTGTAATTGCATCTGACAGCTTTTCAGCATTATCGAGTATACGATCAGGCAGATCTTCATCTAGAATGGACATCATAAATGAAATATTTCTAATTTTATATAAAATGCAAATCAAAGGCATAGCAACTCGTTTCATCTGGGTTCCTGCTCATGTTGGTGTGGAGGGAAATGAACAGGTGGATATTCTGGCCAAACAAACACTCAGAAGTATGAACATAGACATAGAAGTTCCACTCAGCAAAGCGGAGGTTCAAACATTCATTCAGAAATATGCACAAACAACATGGCAAGACCATTGGGACCTTAGTGATACAGGAAGACATCTTTATAACATTCAAAGGTTTGTTGGGGATGGAAGGAAGGTGGGGTTTAAAAGAAGGGAGGAACATGTCATTTCTCGGATGAGAATAGGTCATACAGGTCTCAATCATACATTAAGTATAATACAGGTCTCAATCATACTTTAAGTATAATACAGGTCTCAATCATACATTAAGTATAATACAGGTCTCAATCATACTTTAAGTATAATACAGGTCTCAATCATACATTAAGTATAATACAGGTCTCAATCATACTTTAAGTATAATACAGGTCTCAATCATACTTTAAGTATAATACAGGTCTCAATCATACTTTAAGTATAATACAGGTCTCAATCATACTTTAAGTATAATACAGGTCTCAATCATACTTTAAGTATAATAGGAAAGCATCCAACCGGAAAGTGTACACACTGCAGCCAGCCAGAAACTGTTGAGCATGTTTTACTGCTTTGCAGGAAATATAGTACTCAGAGAAATGTGCTTTTCCAGACACTGAAGAAAGCAAAATTCCATGACTTGTCGCTATCAGGGCTGTTAGGGAAAACATCAGGCAATATATATTGTGAGATTATTAAATTTCTAAGAGAAATTGATCAATTTAAAATAATCTAGAGTTTTGGTTCTTTGTTTTGTTTCTTTTGTTTCTTGTTTTCTGCATAGTCTCTTGTCCACACTCCAGTCCAGTTGGTGGCGGTAATGCGCCTACAAGTTGGTTTGCCAGCCGCCAATAAACACAGAAGAAGAAGAAGAAGAACGAAGGACAAAAAAGAAGAGGTGAGTGGATTAAACCTCTTAGTTTACAGTTAATCACGAATCAGAAGTTATCTTATTTAACACAACAGCTGTAATCTTCAGGATAACTGCTACAGTCTGAAAGCTAACGGCTATCAGCTACAGTTATTATTCCAGTTCGGCTCTGGGGGAGTAACAGTTGATTTGTAATGCTCAGCTGACTTTATCTTAGTTATTTATTACACCAGTTGTCTTTAAGACGGTTTTAGTTGTTGTGTTGGTGCTCTTTACCATAGATATGGTTTTAAATGTATGCTAACTATCTTATTAGCATCGCCATTCACGTGACGTAGCATTTTTCCCATTGAAATGAATGGGGTTCTTCAGTTAGCAGCTAACGCTAAGCTAAGCGACGGTTTAGCTCATTAGATAAATAGATATACTTTATTTAAATAATGATTTCTCTTAAACTGGGAAATGAATGTGTCACAGCAGAAGTGTTTTCAGGCATTACACGAGTTAAACATATTTAAAAGATGCAATTAGATAATTAAAATGAAGCATTAGCAGTAGTGCTGGGGGGAAACGATTATTTTGAAAACGATTAATCGGGCGATTATTTGATCGATTAGTCGACTAATCGAACGATTATTTTTCTGTTGTTCAATTCATAAAAAACGTAATGTAAAAAAAACGTAATGTAAAAATTTTTTTTTCACGATACTGTGTCTCAGGGGATCTTAATATTTAAGAACCTATTAATGTGTTATACCAGATTAACGGAAATAATCTCAGCTAACTGACGATACAAACCATGTTTACCAAAACAAAACACAAGTCTCATAAGAAGCATCTAAATGACCCCTGAGCGAAAAATGCTAACGGACATTGGCACAGATCTCAAGATAAAAGTACCCTTATTACTTATCGTAGCTGCACATACAATATATCCGATTAAAGCTGAGACTCCACAGATTATGTAGGTACATAGTATCATCACTGAGTGATCCGGACTCGCGACAGGGGAAGCAAATACAGTCATCACAACACGTACCTTCACAGAGCTTCTAGGGAGATCGTCTCACCGCCGTAGCTGTCAATCTGATCAAAATACGTGTTCAATGGCATTCAAATGAGAAAAAACCGCGGCTGAATCGGTTAATCCATAGGTTCTTAACGTCTATGTATAAAAAAATTATTGAATTTATAATCCATAATTCCATTTTAAATCGGAGAGCAAATGCTAGCTGCTAATGGTTGCCACCACAGCTAGCTGCTGCTTCCAGTCAAGCAGCAGTCTCAGTGAGATATAAATATATAAATATCTTTGCGTTTTGGACTAACTTTAAAATATTCCCATGCTTTTGAAGACCTAGGGCGAGATGTTTTCGTTTGAGGGCTTCGTGCGCAATCCCGTGAGGAGGAGTTGGTAGCCGTTTCAGTCTCCATTGTGTTAGAAGTGCGATTGCGAACTGCTTGTTGCTTTGGGTGACCCACGTGTGTGTGGCGTCATACAGTCTATGGTGGCGACGCGTCGACGCGGAAATATGTCGTCGACGATATTTTGAAGTCGACAGCACTAATTAGCAGCAAGTATACACACAGGACACATATCACTAGAGCAGTGGTTTCCAAACTTTTTGTGCCCAAGGCACACCAAAGGACAAGTAAAAATCTCAAGGCACACCTATTGTGCAAAACAGCCCTTATAACACGTGTTATCACTCATATCATGTACAATCTCTATAAATGTGCATAATTATTTACTAATGCCAAATAAAATGTGACAAAGACAACTATATTAGGCTACTCATGAAATATTTATTAACGAAACATTTCAGAAATTAATTTGAAACTTTATCAAATTAGGTTTCATCAAAGCAGCAACACACTCATTTAAACCAGACAGGTCACAAAATTAACATTTCAGCATTGAAACATGTGCTATTGTAAATATTTTTGCTGACTTACAAATTAGTGAGATACATGTGCCTGTTGGGGCGCGCAGATTTGTTTAATCCTTGGTGGCACTGAGGAGAGGGCCACTCGCAAGTCCTGTTCAACAGAGAGCCGTGAGTCCCGTGACCTCCTGTTGTTCTTCATGTAAATCAGAGTAGAGAACGCCAACTCCAGAGATGGGGTCGTTACTAATTTTTTTAAATATATTACATATTACTTTAAAAAAAGTAATATATTACACTACTTCGTTACTATCTACATAAAGTAACTCGTTACTTTACTCGCCGAGCACGTACGAAATTGCGCATGCCTGAGTGGCAATAACTTTCCTTACCAGCAGGCGGCGGTAGTGTGTATTTGTCATTCAAAACAGGAAACAACCGGAAAACAGAGAAGAAGAATAGACGACGTGATATAAACAAACAACAAATAGCTGTGCGGTAGCTTCACCTTAGCATGTGTTCTTTGCAGGTGTTTGTTGAGGTTTGACGTGGTGTTTCCAGCAGTGGATAACAGCTTCTGGCCTGGACACAGTTTGCACCTCACGTCACATTCCTGTCTATTCTTCGGACGAACTCAAAATAATGGGCATACCTCCACCCCTCGAAAGTTATCGCTGACTCAGCCATGTTTATGCAGCACTGCACGTGGAGATGTGGACGCACAAGTCGCGCAGATTACGTACATATAAACCTACAAAGTACTGATATTATAGTAAATAAAAAAATTATTATTTTTGTGTAGTTGTATATTGCAATAATAATGTATGGTTGTCACAAAATCCCACGGCACACCCGGACTTGCCTCACGGCACACCAGTGTGCCGCGGCACACCGTTTGGGAACCACTGCACTAGAGTATCTAAAGAATACACAATATACAGAAAATACTGTATACATGGAGTACATTAAACAGTCTCACTAGCTAATGTTTGCTTTCTGTGTTAACTTAGTGATAGTTACACACGGAGAGCGCTATAACAGTGGTTCAAACATCCATTAATGTCACTTTCTATGTGAATAAAGTCATTTTAATGAAATAAAAGTGAACAAACTGTGAGCTGTAAATTAGAATGTAAGTTGCTACACAGATTATGATGAATTATATCTAAATATTTGTATTATATTTATAATAATTTACACAGAAAACCAACTTGTTATCGTAATGGTTAAAGTAATTTGCATGTAACGTTAATAACTATCTGACCTTTCTATCATTTTCTCCTCTGCTTAGCATCACATTGACTAAATGGATCAATTTGGAACATGTTTACGTCACAGCTGCATAGATAAGACAAGGCACTGCACATGGTGTGATAAAACACTACATATAAGCATCTAGAAATAGAACATATCATTGAATAAACTCTTTGAATTCCTCCTCTTCACTGCTGACAGTTTATGATGAATTATATCTAAATATTTGTATTATATTAATAATGAAGCAGCTCTGTGGTCTTCATCAGGACATCTGATGAGCAGCATGGAGGAGAAGAAAGAGACCCCTGGAGCTCAGGTCAGTGTGCACTTCATCACAATATATTCCTAATTCCAGCATTTCCGCCAGGCGGGCGTCTTGCCTTCATGTGACGCCCTTATTCAGCTCGGAACGCCCTATACAGACATAAATAAAGCAGCGACTGTATTCACCATGACACAGACAGTCTGTGGTTTGTACTTGTTTAACTTCTGTCTAGTTTCTGAACAGATATGAGGAGCTGTGAGCTCTGAGGGCTAACAGCTAACGGCTGATGTTGGTTTTGTGGTCCACATTGTCACTACCCGATCTGCAGCCCTGCCCTATCTGCAGTGCGCATGTGCGAGAAGGTCCGCCATATTTGACAACTCCATACGGCAACTCTAATAGGACATTTGACGTCTAGACGGCTGCCCGATTTGCATCGTGCATGCGCGAGTCATTAACGTCTCAAATATCTTTATTAAAATATTTTGTTATTTGAAATAAAATGAAGGACATTCACAGTTAATGTAATTAGATATAAATTATGAAAGCCATACATATTGCATACATTCACAGTCAATATTTCTTCAGTATGTATGAGAGCTGTCCAACAGAAGTTACATCCATTTCTCACTTATTCTGACAATGTACTTAACCCAATAAAATGACCCAATAAAAGGAGTTGTTCAATAATAGTGAAGTCACGTTGTAATAACAATAACTCGTCTGTCTCGTTCAGATTAATATTGTCGGTTTTTTTGAGTGTTCTTTTTCTGCTTTGCCAAACGCCACTGTGTCAAATGTCCTATTAGAGTTGCCGTATGGAGTTGTCAAATATGGCAGACCATCTCGCACATGCAGATAGGACAGGGCTGCAGATCGGGTAGTGACACACATTGAAGATTACGTCACGGCTCCGCCTATACTGCGTTACTATAGTTACTGCCCCAGTTCCTAAACTGTATTGGAAACGCAGCATAAAGTGAGCCTGGCCTACCAAGGCCTAACTATACCGTACGAGGCCCTGCAGTGGAAATGCGTTCCAAACAGTTATTTAAATGCAAAAAATACTCAACTGTTGAAAAACTACTTTTTCAATGATTTTACCTAGAAAAGGGAGGTTTGATAGGGGCCTGTAATTGTTCATTACTGAAGCGTCTATTATTCTTTTTTTCAGAGCGGTTTAATGACTGCAGTTTTCAGAGCCTGTGGAAAAACACCTGAGTGAAGAGACTTGTTTACCATTACCTATGCTGCGTACCGGTACGCCGAACCGGTACTGGACTTGTAAAAAGTTTCGGTTCAAGTCCGGTTAAAACCGGAACGTCGGGAAGTACTTGGACTCGCAAAAAAACTAGCACTTACGTATATTCTCCTTTTTGTTCTAAACCATCTAAAACCTCCCTGAAGGCAGCGAGACTGAGAGAGTCAAGGGAAGCTTATAAAAGTTAACAGCATTTAATTACACAAAAGATGCGGTGGTGTACAAATGAAATTGCAAAAGGAGGCGCTCTCCTCATCTCCCGTCAGCCCAGGTTGGTATCTGTGGTTATTTAAACATTCCCTGATAAACCTTATTCAGCGTCAATAAATAAGTGTTAATCCCAGTGTGCTCAGTGTACAACATCACATGTAATTTCACCTTTGATTCACGGTTTGAAAACGTAGCATTTCGCCACATGCTAATGCTAACCGGAAGTGAAGAATTTTCAGAATAAAAGTATTAAGTTAAGAGTGTGAACTTCCGTTTTTTTCAGAATAAAACTGATTTAAATTAAATAGTGTATTTAATTCAAATTACGCCATATCAACATTGATTTTAATTTCTAACAGTATTTATGTACATCACTATGTATGTAGTATGTACTGTATAATGTACACATGTAGAGTTGTAGAAAATACATGGTGTACAGACAGTACAGTACACTCTGACTGTACAGTCACTACAGTGTAGCCTATACTGTATAGTAGGTGTGTAACAGTGTAATGCGTATAGTCAACTGCACTCTACCTTTCAGCAACGTTTTAGGGATTTAGGCTCAGTCAGCTCAGGGACTGTTTGGTTACTTTAGTTTGGTAAATGAAATAAATGTTTGAACTTTGTAGTAGTTCACTGTAGTTGCTGTCAGAAGTCATTTGTAGACTAAGTGGCAAAAAGTGTTTTTTTTACATTTGTACTTTGTAGAGAAATGTAGACAAAAGTTGGAAGGGAGCACAATAAACCTGACGAGTTTGAATTTGAGTTGATTATGAGTTTATTTTCAATTGATAATTAGCTCACAATAAGTTCACTTTATAGTTACTCACACAACTTGACACAAGCCATGGGTCCGGACCTGAACCTGAACCTCTGGACTTGAGTCCGGACCTGAACCTGAATGTGAGTCTTGGATTGCAGAGTATGAATGTCCTCTAGCAATTTTCAGACGATATGTACGTGTGTAAAGTTTGTGAAGGCAGGAGGAAAAAAGCTTCCGCGATCACTGTCTCCTCTCCGTTCCTCCAAACCCTCCCTGAAAATAATGAGTGACAGGCTGATACAGGCCCGATAGAAACTTTATTATTCACTTAATCACTGAGATATAATGAAGCTAACTTAGTCTCATACATTCATGGGATTTAAGTAACAGTAAGACAGAGAATGTAAGTGTGCACCCACATGCACTATTTTTGTTTTTATAATGCTGTTGTAAATAGGGATGCACGATAATTATCGGTCCGATATTAGGAATTATGACGTCATCCCGATAAACCCGATACCAGTATTAATAGCCCCGATAATATACAATATATTTTTTGGGTAAAAAAAAAAGAAAAAAATACTGCGGTGTGGGTGGATTGGGATGAGGGGCGCTTGTTTTTCACTTGGCTACCTCCCGTTTTGCCAGTACTGTGGTATTAGTGGTTTAGGAAGAGGGGAGTTTTTCACAAATCCAGCGCTCCCTAACTCATGCCTGGCTGTGACGTAAATGGTGTGCGGCCGTGAAGCCAGGACAGTAAACAAACATGTCGTCGGTGGTATGGCGTTGGAGCTATGTGCAACTCAAGGCGTATGCTCGAACCGGAGCTGCCTGGACACTGCAATCATGTTGCGCACTATCCGTGCTGAGTGTGCTGACTTTTCGTACAATGTCCCACTGTCTGGCTTCCTGCATAAAGTCAAGTGCTCGGCGCAGTTGTGGCGAAATGTCGCTCCTCTGTTTTCATTTAAACAGCTCTGTATATCTGTTAGCGCAGCTAGCTAGCACCAGATGCTAACAACAACAATGCACGTAAGGTCTCTCTCTCGCTCGCTCGGGCCACACATACACACACCCTCCCGGTCCTCCAGATGGCCAGTCGGTGCCTGCCGGTGAGCGTGGAAGTGTGGTCTGCCACAAGCGGGCATCTACAAGCTGTCAACATCAGCTTGTAGTTGGTATTTTAAACTCGATGCGCTCTGAAACTACGGGGCGGCCGAGGGAAAAAAAATACACATGCGTTAATCGCGTTAAAATAATTAGTGGCGTACATTTTTTTTTATTATCGGTCTTGAGAAGCAGGAAGTTATCGGTATCGGTTTCAAAAAACCAATATCGTGCATCACTAGTTGTAAATACTCCTGTTGTCTGTGTTCAGACTCAAGCTTCATTATATCTCAGTGATTAAGTGAATAATAAAGTTTCTATCGGGTCACTATCAGCCTGTCACTCATTATTTTCAGGGAGGGGGCGGGGTTTGGAGGAACAGAGGAGACGGTGATCGCGGAAGCTTTTTTCCTCCTGCCTTCACAAACTTTACACACGTATATATCGTCTGAAAATTGATAGAGGACATTCATACTCTGCAATCCAAGACTTAATTAAATCCACCAAAAACCTGACATGATTGTAACGCGATTATTTTTGAAAAACTCTGAGCCGCTCTGAACATAAATCCCTGTGTCTCTGAGCCGCAGCGACACGGAGTGATTCAGGACGGATCCTTCTGCTGTTGGTTCTGGACTGGTGTTCTTGTGTTGGTGGATAAAGCAGACTGCTCCGTGTTTGGTGTTGCTGTGCCGCTGTCACGGCTGTTCCCTGATCTCTGCGTGACCGACCGATTTGATATTAAAGTGACATTAAAAAAAACGTTATAGTAAAGCCGTGGCCGGAAAATCAGGAAGCAATGTTACTACGCTATAATCGATTATCTTCCGTCACTGCATCGATACCGAATCGTCCACATCGCAATGCATCGTAGAAACGATTATTTTCAACACCCCTACTGTATACCAGAGGTGGTAAGTCATACATGTGCAAGTCTCAAGTTACTGGGGTGAGAGTCAAGTAGGGATGCTCCGATCGATTGGTCACCGATCGAGATCGGCCGATACTCACTCTCTACCGATCGATCGGTGCTCTCTAAACATGCCGATCGCGAGAGCCGATCGCATGACGTAAAACACATGACACTTTTCTCTGTGTGCGGCAAAACAAGCTCGCCAAAATGGCTTCACCGGTCTGGCATTATTTTAAGGTGTCCGAAAAAGACAGTAAAATAGCGGTATGCAACGTGTGTGAAGCAGAAATCCTGCAGCTCCGCCCGCCGGACCGGTAAGCGGAACGAAACACACAAGAGTTAGACCTAACATACTTAGCTAGTTTATCTACCTCTGGAACAAGCTAAACTAGTTATTATAAATATATGTATTCTTCACTGTCGGGTCACTCATTATTGGATCAGTGAGCTGCATGAGATACTGACAGGCTGTCAGGAGAGAGAGGGAGAGAGGAAAAGAGAGCGCTTCCGCTAATTTCTCCCGTGTTATTATCCAAAGTGAATGTAAACTTGAATAATGTACATCATTTGTATGTAATAATTAAGTTGATTGTTGTTTGTTGAAGCTCCAGTGAATGAGCCCCATTAACTGAGTTTAAACATCACTTTAAATAGAAGATTTAAAGTGATGTTTAAATCTTCCATTTAGGCCCCGCCCACTCGATCGGATCGGCCGATACCGATTCCGGCGATCGGCCCCGAAATTGGAAATCGGAGCATCCCTAGAGTTAAGCAAGTCAAGTCCTACGAAATCCTGATGAATAACCCCAGTTTAAATCAGTTAAAAGACAGTGGTTATGAAACTAGAGTTTTATTTTCAACATTAACAACAATGGAGAGTGGGGCTCTGAAATCATAAAACAGGTAATTGTGTGTGTGTGTGTGTGTGTGTGTGTGTGTGTGTGTGTGTGTGTGTGTGTGTGTGTGTGTGTGTGTGTGTGTGTGTGTGTGTGTGTGTGTGTGTGTGTGTGTGTGTGTGTGTGTGTGTGTGTGTGTGTGTGTGTGTGTGTGTGTGTGTGTGGGGCGGTCGCTCGTTAGCTGTTCTAATGAAGGTAAACACAGTGAAGACACAGCTCTTTGCTGCTGCTGCTCTTCTCAGATTCTGCTGAGTTACACGTTACTGCCTCCTGGTGCTGCAGAGATTTCATGAAGTGAAGGAGGTTTTTCTTCTATGAAGCAGCTGTGGGCAGCAGATACTGTGAGAGTCACAGACATGAATACATAGGTCAAGGCAGACTGGTTCACAGACTCTCCTGTTTTGCCGATCCGGTGCTTGAACAAATAACTCTACACCCCTGGCCGAAATGTCCCTAAAATGAAGTCCGAGTTTGAAATATATCTCAAATAATGTATGTATTTCCCCACATAAACATAACAGTCTGCAATGAAACGGCTGTCTCCTGTGCGCTCCACTTCCTACTGCGAACGAGAGACTTTCTCTCTCTTTTTTTTCTTTCATTGCCCTCTAGGGGCTTCGTACAATACAAAAACAAATATTTTATTTAAAAAAGTAAAGTCCTTTCGAGTCATCTGTCTCAAGCCTAAGTCTCAAGTCATGAATACCAAGTCAAAGTCAAGTCGAGTCTTTTATCAATGTTAGTCAAGCAAGTCTCAAGTCCAAAATTAGGCAAGTCAACTCATTTGACTCGAGTCAAGTCATGTGACTCGAGTCAAGTCATGTGACTCGAGTCCCCCACCTCTGGTATATACTTTGGTTAGAATATTGCTGTATTACTGTATCAAATATAATAAATACAAACAGTTGATAAGTAGTATTTTGTTAACTCAAGGTTTATATTAAAGGGGACCTATCATGCAAAATGCACTTTCGTACGTCTTTTATACATGAATATGTCCCCGGTGTTCCAGGGAACTCACCAAGTGTCAGAAAACACAACCCTCTCTATTTTCCTCCATACCCAAATCTCTAAAAAAGGGGCTGCAACGGATCTGATACAGACTGATCCAGATTTGAACACTTTACTGACGTCAGTAAGCGGAACGGAGAGATCTAGATCAGCATTAAGGTGTTATTTATAATGACCACATTCTCAACAAAGTAAGATTATGACTCCCAATATTAATTAAAATGCTTTTATGGATTTAGAAAAGTATTTTATTGATTTAAAAAATAGTTGTATTGATTTTAAATTGACATGCATCCGCTAAGAAAGATAGTCCGTTGTTACTGTTTGAACTAACGTAGCAACGGCAGGAACTGCTTCGATAGCGTTTTTGAGGAGCTTTTTGATTACAGATTTGAAAACATCGCTCCTTGCTTTAAAAGTAGCACAATTCATTATGTCAAACCTTGTGAAGTATCTAGATATCCCTGCCCTAATGCCAAAGGAACTGCACACTGAATATGTGTCGCCGTTTGATGTCTATGTCTGGACCGCTGCGTAAAAAGGAGGGTTTCTGCCCCATTACTTCTCTCCTGCAGCGGGCGTGGTCAGCTACAGGGGGCAGCTACAGGGGGGCGTGGTCAGCTGCAGCTCACAGAATCAGCCCCCTGCAAAAACAGCGCTGGAAAGAGCAAATGGAGCTAAATGAGGCATGGCTAAAATGCAGGATCTTTTTGGTATTTTGAAAAAAAAACTATATTTATATACTTTATATAGTGTTTAGAGTCGGTGAGGTCCTGATAATTTATTCCGGGAAATTACTCTGACCTACTAATTGACCTGACCGAAGTTATTGATTTTATGTAAGTTTACTGCTTGGCTCAGATCCACTAACGTCAGCAAGATCTCACCTCTATTAACTCCCCAAAGAACCAGGTTCAATTAACTGCTGTTTCAATTCAGACAACTCTCTTAAATCAGTTTTAAGCGATCCAGAAGGATTTTGATATCAGTAAATGATGTGTGGCCCTACCTAAGTGTGAGTGTGGCAGGGTGCAGTCTTACCTTTGAAGCAGGAGAGGAGAGCACAGGTGTCTTTTAAGTTATCCCAAACCAAAATGTGGGATCAGTTTATTTGAAGAAAGAAAAATAGGTCCAAACTAATACAGGGTTTTTACCTTCTCTCTTTAACACATTATAATCATACTAAACCTATCATGTTGTGATCATGTTCAAATATGAAACTTGAATTCACAGCCTTACATTTATTACCAAAATTGTAATTTCAACTGCCCAATTCAGTTGTGATTTCTAAATCTCCCGATAGAATTTAGAGGCATTTCCTCATAAATTACCGGTGATAATAAAAAGCACATTCAAACTTTCATTTTCATCCAATCAATTCACATCAATTTCATACCTTTTTTCCGACACAGACGGCAGGAATAACATTAAAAAACCCATTCCTATCCGCATGAATTCGGAGGAAGATTCCTAACAGGTGGCGGGTACTAATACTCAAACACATCTCCCATCAAATCATTCCACTCAGCAAACAAAGAAATTCACTCAGCATTCAACCAAGAAATTTGAGAGATATTTCCCAAGTCTGAGAGAACCTTACCAAGAGCTATTAACCCAGCTCTGAGGGCCAGAGCCTACCGCGAGAGAGTATACCAGGGGAACCCCCCTCTCTCTCGCTCCCTCCCAAAAAGCCAGTCTCTTTATGCACAAAAAACAGGATAGAAACCCCAAAAACGGGTGACATGCTGTTTGATACTCATGGTACCTGTCTCTGTAAATAGAGTTTGTAAACTGTACATTATGTTGTATGTCATCCTTATTGTTGTTCTGTTGTTTTTATGTTACATGTGTAACTAATGTCCTGCAGGTCACCCTTGAAAAAGAGATCTTTTGATCTCAAGGGGCTTTCACCTGGTTAGATAAAGGCTACAAACAAACACCTTCTCCATACCCAACCAATGAAACAACCTGGGCATGGCCACTGATGTACAGGACTGGACATATTCTATTGGCTATGGCATAAGACACACCTTCCCATGTTTGTGTAAAAAAGGACATGACCAGACATATTCTATGGCTATCACATAACCACCTTTTTGAGGCCTCAATGTATTTCTCCTTAAGTCCGGAGCCCCCCTCCCTGTGTACTGCTGTGAGAGGAGAGGGAAGAAACTGCCTACTCTCTTATCACTGACACCCATAAATCATTATAAATCTTACACTCAACAAACCACTTGGTTTATACTGTAAATATAGAAAAACATAACATATGAAACATTTTCATTGTGAGTTATACAAGAATATAATTGATTATAACTAACTTTCGTTTTAAGTATTCAACATACTATGAAACTCTCAACACCCTCTTTTTAAAACGCAAAGTTATCAAACCGCAACAACTAAAATTGTAAGCATACATACATATTCAAAAACCATCAAGAAACATTCTCATTATGGGTTCATACAAGAATATGATTGATCATATATGATTTATAATTAACTTTTGTTTTAAGTATTCACTTAATACTATGAAGATCTCAACAATAGGTATGGCCCTACAATATATTGTTCAAATATAGCATGATTGGTCCACTTTAAGTGAGTTTTTATTGTGTTAACTTGTGTATTTATGCTTTTCAGATTGACTTTCTCTCTTTCTCTGTCCGTCTGTTCTAGAAACCGAAAGGAAGAGAGAGACGTCACAGCTGTCAGCAATGTGACAAATCCTTTAAAACATCTGGACATTTAAAGCGCCACCTGCATATTCACACAGGAGAAAAACCGTACAGCTGTGAAGAGTGTGGGAAAACTTTCAGTACATCAGATGCTCTCAAATCACATCAACGTATTCATACTGGAGAAAAACCAAACAGCTGTGAAGAGTGTGGGACAACTTTCAGTACATCAGATGCTCTCAAATCACATCAAGTATTCATACTGGAGAAAAACCGTACAGCTGTGAAGAGTGTGGGACAACTTTCAGTCAATCAAGTAATCTCAAATTACATCAACTATTCATACTGGAGAAAAACCGTACAGCTGTGAAGAGTGTGGGACAACTTTCAGTCAATCAAGTAATCTCAAATTACATCACCGTATTCATACTGGAGAAAAACCTTACAGCTGTGAAGAGTGTGGGACAACTTTCACTAGATCAAGTCATCTCAAAAGACATCACCGTATTCACACAGGAGAAAAACTACTATAACCAACTATAGTGGTTTTAAGAGTGTAGGAGCCGCAATTAAGCATATTTTGTTTTTTTCACAGTTTACAATAAACAATTCCCATCTATAGAGTGGCGAAGTCACGCCCATCTACTTCCGCTCCATGGGACCTTATTTCGGAAAAATAATGTATTGAAGTCAATGGAGAGAGGAAACTTATCTTTCGATCCCGTTTGAATTGTGCCATGAGTTACACATATGATGTTAGTCAATCTGAAAAAATAATTTCCATGTCAAAAAAGTCACAGTTTGTCGTAAAACTGTTGAAATATATAACTATGAAAAATACGCAACTACAAAGACTACTAATCCCAGAGTCGCGTAAGTGATGTCACAATTGTTTTCCTTCACTAAGAGAGGCAGCTTTGCATGACATTCTTCTGGACGTGTTTCATTGTGGTGATAGTGAGGGTAGTCAATCCTTTTGTTGAGTAGTGACGGCCATCTTGGTGACGTGTGTTGTTCTGCGAGACCGTTCACAGTTTGACACATTATTTTTTTTTACTTGCAAAATTATCTTTTAAAATTGACAAATATCATATGTGTAATTCGTGGCACAATTCAAACAGGATCGAAAGATAATCTTTGTCTCTCCATTGAATTCAATACATATTTTTTTCAAAATAATGTCCCATTGAGCTCCACCGGAAGGGGAGGGACTTCGCCACTCTATTGGCCTTGTGTTGGGTAATCCTTTTTTCCATTACAGATCCCATCCCAACAGCGCCATCTGTTGACGTAACGTCAGAATTGTCAGGCATAATGTTCACTGTTCCTTTAAGTTTCGTTTTCTGGCTGTCCGTCTGCCGACAGCTGTTTCACACAGCTGACATTATTGCAGCATTAAATCCAAGCCATTGTCCAATGCAGTTTATGTATCCAATATACGATCCAGTTTTAATGCTGCTCTTACCCGGCCGCTTTCCCTGCCTTGGCTCTCGGCCTCTTGATGAGTGCAGGTGGTGACAATCTCCAGCTGATTGTGGCGTGTTGTCCAGCTGATCCGGGATGACGGTGTCGGTTGTGAAGTAATCCAATTGTTTGTCCGGTGAAAACAATCCTTAATCCAATGAGATATATTTATTATATTGTCCAGTTACACTCATAGAGTACGATTCTACTTAATGTAATGGCAGTTTAAATGTTCCAGTGTCCTATATCTTTTTGCCATTAATTCACAGGAGGGTTTAGAGTGATCCTGACGCAGACACAAACATATGAAGTTCCGGTCTTTTGCTGCAGTTTTAGAATGATGTTTTATTGCTTTACATACCAAGTACACAGTGTCAATAGTTGTAGTATGAGCATCTGCTTGGGCTGGCTGGGCTGGCCATCTGGTAGAATCGGTATGCTCTTCCCCCTGTGTCCCCTTCCTCTCCTGTCACCTATGACCCCTTTTATACACCCCGCCACCAAGTGTTCAAAAATAATATTGCACTATTCATATAAATAAAGTAAACTGAGACACCAACAACACCCATAAAATGGCTGCTACAAAGAGTGTGGGAAAACATTTTCTTAAAGTATTCACCTTAAAGTCCATGAGCGAGTTTCACTGTTCATTAATCTGCTTCATGTATCTGGAACATATTTACGATGTTTTCAGTTTGATTCTATTCTCTTGATAAAATAAATGGCCTTAGAAACAGACTCGTAACCCTGCATATTTGTTGTGTTTCGCAGCATATTATAAACATGTCCTTCCCTTATCTTCAAATACCCCAGGTTGTGTAGTGATGTATTTGAGGTGTACTTTATGGAAGCAAACAAGAGACAGAAGTATTTGAATTTGATCAGACACCGAATTTATAGCATTGAAAATAATTACTTTGAAAATTATGTATCTGAATTTTTTTTGCTCCGAATTTACCTATGTGAAATTAAAATGTTCAAATTCAGATCCCAAAAATTCAAGTGAAAAAAATTCTACGTCAAATATTTCGGTGTTTAAAATTCAATGTAAAAAAATTCGGTGTATAGAATTCGACGTCAAAAATTGCGATGCAGCATCATCCGGGCTACTCAGACAGGATAAGCAATCGATCCCGAATGCAATCAACCCGACTTCTGGGGGACAGTGCGGTGAAGCCCAATGCTGCAAACTGTCGGCGATGGATGCAGATGGGAGCAATTCCCGTATACCCTATGTTAAAATGTCCAACTTAACATCAGTAAATGAACATGTTTCTAGCCTGGATCCACAAAAACATATTCTGTAGTTAGATTCCCCCTTCATGACAACAGGACTGCTTCTCCTGGCTCCTCTGTCTCACTGCTAGCTCCGTTAGCTCCATTGGCTCCGTGATGCTACAGCGGCTCAGCTCATGAGGAGAACACTACTTGAACTCGGCCATGTTTGTTGTGTTGGTTCCTGGTGGACTATTCGTCATGCAAATATAGGATTTATCTGCGGTTAAAATAGACCGTCCATGAATGCAGTTTCTTCGGTAAGTCAACCCTGCGTACTTTATGTTATGCTACTGGTATTTTTATTAAGCTAACGTTAATGAATGTTTAGAGTTGGGTTAGCATTTGAGCAATCGTAGCTCCATCTGTGCTAACGATGCTATGCGTAGCATCCAAGAGTGTAAAACATTAAGTGGGATGCTACTGTATACCAAAAGGCTTCTGTGCGAGGTTGCTAAAATAAGGTCATCCTTGTACGTTAGATAGTTAGTTTGCTAGTTAGGTTACTGTATGCATTGTTAAGGTTCGTTTAAATTCGCTATAGCATCAAATAGACTAGCTAACGTCAACGTATTGTTGAAGAGAGGCTTAGTGTATATTAAATCAACCTCACAATGAAATGTGTGTATCTTTAAAATATGAACGTCACATTTCAAGATAATAACGCTCCCTTAGATATTGTAATATGGTTTGTTGAACTGGAGTTATTTATTGCAGCTAACCGCCTATCCGACGAACGACACAAACATTGTCGTTTTTAATATTATTACCAATGCCTCTTTTAATTGTATTATCATCACACTTGAGAAACAACCTTATCGTGGCTGTAGAACGGAACATGTAACTTAATGCCTGCATTAAAGGACGATGAATAGCATAGTCAATGCTTTAGTGACAAGGAAATGATTTGTTTAAATATTAGATATGACGTTATCTGTGACTTCAGTGAACATTAAGCTTATCCATTGCATTGCATTTGTTCAATAGGTTTGTGTCTTACCCTTACGTGTGTGACACATATGCATATGGCATTTGAAAACAAATTAATTTGACTGACTCATGAAAACCTCATCCAAAGTAACAGTAAAATAAAAAGGACCTACACAATAATACTCAATCAAACTGATACAGTATAAGGACTGTGATATCCAGCAATTTCTTAAGTATAACAATAAGATTATGATCTGTTTTTAAAAGAAGATAAAAAGTTGTTTGCATGTAAAGAAGTCTGTAACTCACGCATGTAACTTTACATCTGTTTGTTCAAAGTCTCCTTAAGGTGATCCAGACAGGCTGGACCAGAGGAGGAGAGACAGACTCCTGCCAGCAGAGAACTTCAGCACAGATTCCAAGGTACACATTTTTCATACTTTGCAAAGAATGCATAAAGTAATGACTCTAATACACTGATATACATGCCATTAAACATGGCTGAATACTAGATCACCTGCACATCAGTGATGTTGAGTGGACTTTCTTAGAAAAAGGTTACATTTACATTTTACCAAGCAACATCACTTTTTTGTTCAACTTTCACATTTCAATGTATTTAAGGCAAATATTATTGAACATAGTGAGAACTGCGACCCTTTGTCTTTCAGTGAGACAACCGGACAGAGCAAGCTTCTACAGTTGCACTAAGTTTTGATAACAGTTAAATATTATTTTAATAATACATTTATTTCAATGTTGATGAATTTAGAACGGTTTATTCATAACCTGATTATCTTTGTAGTACACTGTTGGATTTAAAAAACACATTCAAATAAAAAAATCATTATATTTATAGCCCCTGAAGAAACAAACACACCTCTATCTTAAATAACACACTTGCTCTGCAATAATATGTTTTTTGATATTTCTGTCAGACAGGACTGCTTCACCATGTTCTCTTTCTCTGAGGGTCCAGAAGAACATCCAAGAGGGAAAGGAGAAGCTGATGAGATTTAAGAGCAGTACAGGACATTAAGAGACATTTATATTGTAACACAAAGACCTGCACACTGAATAGTTTTGTAGTCTAACAGGAACTTCATTTGTGTGTTGTTTTGTGTTTTACGTTGCACCTCAGAGACGGTGTGATTATTGTCAGGCCTATAAAGTTTGGCAAAAAAAAAAAAAAAGTCAGCTGATCAAATGCACTTGCCTCACTTTATGAGCTTCACATCACTTGTGCCTTGTACCGCAGAGTTTGCAACGTCATAAATAAATGGTGCCAATCTTCAGTCAGATGTGAATGTGTAATCTAACATTTTCAGCAAGAATAACGGACAAAAGGAGAGCATATACAATTTATTGAAATGTGAACTAAATGTTATCAAGCATGAACCATCACCATTTTTTAAAAATAAAAACAAAATAATATACATAAGTTACACTAAATGTCAATCTGTTAATTGATTAAGTAAACACATTTTGTCAAATAAAGTGACAGGCCTGTGCAGGTGGTAACAGCTATGCCCAGCATGGGCTAAGTTCTGTAGGTGCAGCTGGTGCAGGTTCTCCTCCCTCAGGCCCTCAGCCCTCTCCGGCCAAACCAACAGACAGGACGTTCATAAAGCTGAGGTCTCCAAAGTCTCTAATCATCCATCCTGTGAATATGAGAGGGGAACAAATAGTGTAACAGATGCTTTGGACAATAAGAAATATAAAGTTAACTATTGAGTTGCTCAGTTTTTTAGATTGAAAGGGTTTAATAATACAAACAAAAGGAGAGGCACCGTAAAATAAAGATTGGTCTTTCAATAAATTGTGTTGATTTTGTCTTTTGAATTCTTTGTCTAAAGTCAAGTAGCTAGAACTGTTACTTATAGTTTGAATGATACAGTCTGGTTATAATGTTTGGAGGAGGCATCACAGGTAAGAGCACCATTTGTTGTGTTCCATCCACAACAAATGCACACAGATCGATGTGTGTATTTATTTATCTACTATTTCTTGGATCATTACTGTCAGTCCAAAACAAGAGATTTTGTTTTAGTAACGTTTAAAAAAAAAAAAACATTATCTCGTTTCCACTACACTATCTTGAATACTTTAGTTTTTACGTCACTACATTTATCTAACAGCTTTAACATTGCAAAGGT